AATCTGTTCAGGTCACAAGTTCTTTTCACATTCATGACCAGAGGGGTGTTTCATTATATCTGATTTCATTTCTTGCAAGATCCTGGATTACATTTATGAAAATAGGCTGGTCCTGATTTCATTAAGTAATTCCTACATGACTATGCCTCCATCTCCTCATTACCCGAGGCATCCATCGGCTGGCCCCAACCCTCAGCCACCACCTCGGAGTTTTGATCGACCTGTAGGTCCTTATCCTCGTGAGGCGCAACGAAAACCCAGTAGGGACTTTCGTGAACCAGCCCGCCAGCCACCCAGACAGACAGACAGGCCCAGGCCACAGCTTTTGGTCATCACCCCCCAGGCCCCCTAGGGGTTGTGGGGAGAGGAAGGAGAGAAAAGTTGTTGGGTACTTTTCCAATCAGCAGCTCAGCTATTGGGATGCTCAAACCGTGGATCCATTGGTGGCTGCAACACTAACCCATGGTTATCGGTTGTAGTTCTGACAGCGGCCTCACACATCACGTCGGGTCAGAATGACTGTCATCGCCGACCCGGTGAAAGCTCAGGCCCTGGACCAGGAGCATTCTGCCCTACTGGCCAAGGGTGCAATCGAGGCGGTGGATCCTCTGTGACAACCCAGACGTTTTTACTTGACTTACCTCCTTGTGCCAAAAAAGACAGGCAGATTTCATCCCATTCTGGACCTCAGGGGGTCTCAACAGGTACTTAAAAATCCTGCCTTTTCACACGTTCACCATGGCAGAGGTTATACAAGCTGTGGCATGGGGAGAGTGGTTCACATCAAAAGACCTGACAGATGCACTGCACCAGAACATGGTCGTTTTCTCAAGTTTGCCTATCGGGCTGCCACTGGCAGTTCAGGATGCTCCCTTTTGGCCTTTCGCTCTCCCCCAGGGTGTTCACTCAATGTATGAAGGCAGCCCTCTCTATGCAGGCCCACGGAATGAAGGTTCTCCCATAACTCGACAATTGGCTTCCCTGCTCCCTATCTCAAGTTTGGGCGTTGCACGATACAAGTTGCCTGTTTGCCCATGTGTCCCAACTGGGCCTCAAGGTCAACTTGGCAAGGAGCTGCCTGATTCCATCTTAGGCAACAACTTTTCTTGGGGTGCTTTTGGACTCACCCTCCATGACAGCCTTCCATGCTGCCCAAAGAGTGAAAGATGTTCTCCAGCACCTCGGTCAATTCAGGCTGGGCAGGTAGCTTCCTTACATTGCCTTTCTGCGGCTCTTAGGCAAACTGACCTCACTCACTCGGGTCGTGCCTTTAGGCCTATTGTCACTGCGCCCATTTCTAAAGTGGCTCAATGGTTTTCATCTGGATGCCAGGCTTCACAAGCATCGCAAAATTGTGGTGACAAGATCATGTCTCTGTACCCTGGACCCATGGAGGGACAGAACTTATTTGTCAAAAGGTGTCCCTAAGGGGATGGTTGTGTGTCACAGGGAGGTGGTCACGACAGATGCCAGCTCCATGAGATGGGGCACTGTGTGGCAGCACAGAGCGATACAGGGCCACTGGAGTCAACAGGATCACTCCAAACACACAAATGTGCTAGAGCTGCATGCTGTGTTTCTAGCTCTCAGGCACTTCTTGCCTCACCTGGAGGGGAAACATGTCCTGATTCGATCAGACAACACCTCTGTAGTCTACGACATCAACCATCAGGGTGGAACAAAGTCAGCACAGCTCCTGAAGGTGGCCAGGCATCTCCTGAGATGGGCCTCCCCTTGTCTGTCCACTCTGCGGGCAGTGTACATACCAGGGCATGACAACCAGGCTGCAGATTCTCTTTCTCTGCAGGCGCCTGCTCCAGGAGAGTGGTCTCTCCACAGTGATATAGAGCGCATAATCTGGGACCTCTACGGTCAGGCAGAAGTAGACCTGTTGGCCACAGAGGAGTCGACTCTATACCCTCTATGGTATTCCCTTACGGGGGCATCAGGCGCACTGGGTCAGGATGCCTTGTCACATCCCTGGCCAAGGGTCCTTCTATATGCCTTTCCACCCCTTTCTTTGATTTGGCCGACTCTTCAGCGAGTTCTTGAGGAGGGCCACAGGGTGTTGCTGGTAACTCTGTATTGGCCAGCACGACCATGGTTCCCACTTCTATGGAAGCTGTGTCACGATGCTCCATGGTCTCTTCCACCCAGGAGGGACCTATTGTCTCAGTTAGGGGAACTGATCTGGCACCCCAATCCTAAATGCCTCAGGCTGTGGGTGTGGCCACTGGGAGGCTTGAGCAGCAGCTGACTGGATATTCAGACTCCGTCAGGTACACTATTTTGAGTGCTAGAGCACACTCTACATGTCAGCAATATGAAAACAGGTGGCATTTGTTTTCTCAGTGGTGTGCTGACCGTAACAAGGACCCATTCTCCTGTGTGGTGCCCACTATCCTGGAGTTTCTTCAATCTCTTCTCGATAAGGGCTGCTCTCCATCAACACTTAAGGTATATGTAGCGGCTAAATCATCTAATCATGCTGACGTTGAAGGTGGTACAGTTGGAAGCCATAACCTGGTTTCTCTTTTTCTGCGTGGCGCTCACAGGTTGCACCCGCCAGCAGTTCTGTGGGCACCTGCTTGGGATCTGCCCTTGGTCCTTGAAGCCCTATGCCACCCTCCATTCGAGCCTTTGCTTCAGGCGGACCTCAAGTGGCTCTCATGTAAGACAGTTTTTCTATTTGCTGTTGTCTCAGCTAAAAGGGTCAGCGAGCTGCATGCTCTCTCTGTCAGCCCGTCATGTCTCAAATGGGCCCCAGATGGCTCTGGTGTTACCTTATGGCCAAACACTGCATTTGTCCCTAAAGTTTTTTTCGCATTCCCATTGTAACCAGCCACTGAGATTGGCGCATTTTCAGCCTACGTCAGGAGGGACTGGTGATAGGCCTGACATATTGCGCCCAGTGAGGGCGTTGGAGACATTTATTGCTGCTACTACTCCTATAAGATGCTCAGACCAGCTGTTCTTATGTTATGGAGGCCCTAGATTAGGCTGTCCTCTTTCAAAACAGCGTCTCTCCAACTGGATTGTGGGTGTCATCTGCTACGCCTACAGGGCAGGAGGCTGTTCCCTGCCAGTCGGGGTGAAGGTACACTCAGCCAGGAGCATTTTCATTTCCTGGGCAGCTCTGAGGGGGGAATCCATTTGAAGTGATATGTGCTGCTGCATCATGGACTTCTCCAAGCATGTTCACTAGATTTTACAATGTGAACGTGGCCTTCCCTCATCCTCTGGGCCAGGTTCTTTTACAAGGGTCCTCTGGGTCTTCTCAATGCTCAGGATTCCTTGTGACATCGCTGGTATTAGTCATTCAGTGCTTTCAGCACCACCCTCTGGTGGTCAGTAGGGATGAAATAGAACAAACTACAGTAAACTACAGTTCTATGAACCCTCAATGACTGCCAGAACTTCTGTCACTCAGAATCCTTGCATTTACGAGAAGATTCAGTAGGAGCAGAGCTTGGGATAACGTCAAGCTATATAGCCTCTGATTAGTCATCCAATTGGTCACAGGTGTGACTCTGTTGGTATTATAGCTCAAACGGCACATGTGCAAAGGGAACATTTGTTCATATACCATATCACTATTATTGAAGCATTTTCTATCAATACCATAAATATGTATATCAATACTAAATTATTGTCCAGCACTAATTTAACTCTATGGTTAGAACTCAGATCAGTCAATAGTTTCAGAGTACTGTCTGAGTCAGGAGAGTTGGAAAAGAATCATAGATTTAGAGTAGAATCAGTAATTGATTGATTGTCACTGTACAGAGCACAATGAAATTACATTTAAGAACACCCATTCATGAAGACACACATGACAAAACATGCGGCAACCAGCAGGGGTGGCGCTTCCTTTAAAAAAATTATAAAAACATTTTATATATAAAACCTGTAGAGTCACTGGAACCAGAAAATAATGGAACTAGAGTTAATAAAGTCAAATAAGAAAAGTAAATTTAGAGTTTATTTTAAATTGTTAGAATATAAATCAGACAGATTAAATCAGATTAACTGAATTAGAGTAGAGTCACTGTGGACTCAGAGTAAAACAAGAGTCCAGTCTGTGGTGGACTGCTGTACCTGCAACATGATGACATCTTTATCGAACATTTCCATTCTGCATTTCACATTGTGGTAATAATAAATCTGAAAGGATAAACAACAACATGTTTACTACCAGCTGATGTACAAGTCTCTGATTTCATATTGGATCTAAAACAGTAAACAACAATAAATGAATACTAACAGCTGAGTTCTTAAAGTTTGGATCATCAGCTACACACTCACCTGATTGATTAGTGAGAAGCCGTTCCTCCTCCACATCCCAGCATGCACCTGTGCACAGAGCACAAGGCAGCGCAGTGGCAGTTCGATCAGGAGATGAGGGGAGAGTTCACCCTGAGGACACAGAAAACAGCTGCTGTTACTGAGAGCAGGTTTCTGTTTGAGTCTAAACTGAGCCAGTCTTTAAACATCTGCAGCAAACGGCTGAACATCTGAATCTGTATTTAGAACTGATTCATCAGGTTATTGAGCAGGTTTCAAGGTTTTATTTATATCATCAGATCTGTAAAGAGTTGAACAGCCACATATTTAATCTCAGAGCCAAAGAAATGAGTAACTTGATCTGTAAGAAGGTGATCATATTACTGACCAATGGCAGCTGCTCAGGGAAGCGAGACGCCACCTCTGTCCTGCTGAGCAGGACATGTAGCCCTGAAAGAAAACAACATGCAGCAAAGTTAACCTGCAGACCCACAGCAGATAACACGTTTACTCTGCACTACAGTATTTACCTGCCAGCAGCCTGCAGATGGGCAGGTGAATAGACACCCTCTCCTGAGACACCTGGTACCTGAACGTGTCCACAGAGTGACCAGCCAGACTCAAACTAATAGGCTGCTCACCATCAGACAGACCACCATGACACTGACTGAGTGTGCTCAGACACTTCTTATAGGCCTCGATCAGCACATGCTCCTGAAAATCACAAAAAGTTCAACCGATCAATCTATTGATTCTACAACATATCAGTAACATGGTCCACATGCAATACCTCAAACTTACCACTGATGTGGTATGTTAACGTGCTAAAATGTGTTCAAGTAGTGTGTTACGTAGCACGTTAACATGTAGCACTATGATTGATTTGTCAGCACATGTAACATTAGCCAAACAGCTTGTACATCTGTAACATGACAGATTATCACAGATTCAGGTAAACGTATTTTACAACCAGAATGTACACGATACTTTGTAATTCCAGACATATTTGTTGTTTTCTGTTCTGCTGCTCCAACTTCAAGGAGGTGCAGCTCATCCACTGTGCTGTGTTGTCATTTACGTTAACTTTAAAATGTTCCCACACGGTTGACAAACTCTGTCATTTTCTGTGAGCTTTGTTTTGGGACTCCTTCCATTACTGAAAATAACACTTAGCATACATGGCTCAACAGTGTAGCCGTTAGCAGAAGTGCTAGCATTGTGCAGCACAGATTGCATTCTGGCTGGACAAAAGTGAGCTGAATAGTTTTACAGTTTCTATTTTTCATGTAACTTTGAGAAAGATCCTGAGGATTTTTAATAACTGAATTACTGGAATTATTCAAGGTAACGTTTCAGCCCTGTGTGTAACATCCATGTCATGTTATCAGTATGATGCTGTGTGATGTATGAAATTTATAACATGTTATCAGTATGATGAAGTGTAACATGTATAACATCACTATGATGCTGTACAACATTTTTTTTCTGCTTGGCCTTCAGAGGAGTCAGACGCTTTTTGCTCGCTCTCCCAAACCTCAGTTTTCCCTGCTTTGCTGCCAGATCAGGCCTTTCCTCTAACTATCCTTCGACAACAAAAGAACTATGGATCTGGTCAACTGGTGTCTGAATGCAATTGATACTATTTTTCCCACTCTGTGATTAGAGCGTGGGCAGCACAGTTGTCCCAGTGGAACCATGGCTGCCGGGCGTGTGTCGGGTGACGGGGAGGGGGGGGGGGGGGGACCTGATCTGCCTGGCGCCTCTTTCTATTGAAGACATCAAAAACGTATTTATATTCGGATTTATGATAATCGGATTCCTGCTGATCGGCTGTGGAGGAGTTCTGGTTTATCGTAAAATGAGTACGATCCTGAAAGCAGTCCGGACCTGTGAGAAGCTGTCTGTGACCCTGGATGGGATTTCCCGTACTGCGAACGCACAGACTCAAATGCTGGGGGAGATAAGTTACAAACTGGATGTGGTCCTGGCTAGGAACGCAGCAGAGCAGCGTGCCCGTGAGGGGTAAAGGCAAGATCTGGGTGAAGTTTCATACAGGAGAGGTGAGATGGTAATCGAATCTGGAATATTGGCATTTTTCGCAACACAGAGGCACAGTTAAGAATTAAAGCAGTGGAAGAAAGGCTGCTTGCCTGAAAAGAATTATATTCTATTATTGGACTCCCACAGCTGTGACCTTGGTTGCAGCTGATAAACCTCCCTGGATGATATGTGTGGAGGAAGCCTTGAACCCCCCACCTGTGTCTGGACCTGGTCTGAAGGCCACATTGGGTGGAGACAGAACTGAATTCTGGTGAACTGTGCTGTTAACAACTGGTTGGACACTGTAGGTCTCCTGATTGGTCCCGGCACGCTGCTGTAGGGGTCACCTCGAGTGAAGAAACAAGATTTTCTGCCTCTAAGCAGGCCTCGGACAGGCCTGACGAGAAGACAGGAACTCTGTCACAAACTGAACTCTATTTAGGCCATGACAGGTCATTCTAACCATGGAAGAGAACCCCTCAGTTCTCTTAATCAGATAATGGACAGAACAATCTCTTCTGTTCGTGATTCATTTGTTGTTTAACTAAGAATGTTTATGCATTTGTTAAATCATATAATGCCTGTCACAGGAAAAGTGGAACCACTTCTTTTCTCTTAACATGCCTTAAAGATTAATAATGGTATAAAAAAATCACAAAGAATCTGATTACAATGTTTTCATTGTGTTTTTATGTAAATCACTGTTTTAATTTTACTGTGAACACAGTAATATAATTGTGGATTTTTCCTGAGAAAATCTTTCATTTATCTGGACTAACAGAAGGTTCAGAGCTGATTATAAACAGAAATGTTAATTAATCATCATAAATGTTTTGCAGTGATTTCTCTTAGAGTCTATCAGAAGGAAGCTAAAGAGGTTATCATGATGTTGTTGAACAACCACAGAATTTAACCTTGACTGGCGCCTGCCTGGCAAATCTTTATCTTTCTTTCTCTGACTCAACTCTAAGCCTGAGGGCGGAACCAAAGATCGTCCATTCTTATTACTAACCCGGACGGCTTTGAGCGACACACTGACTTCCTTAGGGTGGATTTTACAGCCAGGGAACCAACAAGCCTGTCGTGTCCCCACCCGAGGCATCAAGTCTCCAAGCATCTGTTTGCCTTCCGATTGGAAGATGATTTTTATTTTGAAGGAGAAACCGGATATGGCTTGAATTTTTCTGGCTTGGACTGAAGCAGATGCAAAGTTACCTGAAAATAACACCTGTTCGCCAATGACTGTTAAGCGAGCCAACAACAGTTCACTGACTGATTGGAGGCGAGCCAGTTTTTCTACTTTGAGGGTGCCTTAAGAAGTCATCATCAGGTAAAAGGCTGAAGTGTTTGGGTGACGTGTACTGTGGACCTGAGTCGAGAAAAGACATGCAGATCCGGGTGACTCACACTTTGGTAAAAGTAAAAGAGTAGAAATACTAACATTACTTTTCTCCTTTTCTTGTATCTTGATTTGCCAAACTTAAGCTAAAGTGCCAGTAAAATTGGTTGTTTAACATCAGAAATGACGTTTTACTGTCTATTATAAGTAATCTGAGTGATGTGGACTGAAAGTCGGACGCAAGTTTTTATCCCATTAATTCTGACGCTTGTTATAGGAAATACCCACAATGAAGTTGTAACGTGTGATCTGTTTAATTTGTGTAAATAAATTATTGCATAGTCATTATTAACAAATTGAACTCGTCTGAGCGTTCCACTTGTGTCATTTTCACTTCGCACAGTCAGGATATTAACAGTGAGAAATCCCTTGGTAAAAATTTTCCTCATAACCCTGTGTATGAGAGATGTGGGAAAAAGCTTATTTCATACTAGGCTCTCTCCTACATTGCCTTGGATGTCACCGGCTCCACTGCACCCCTCCCCCTTACCATATGTTTGTCCCCCCACCCCGCTACCCTCCTTAGCTGTTATTTCTTTCGCAGAGTAGTTTTTTTGGAGAGTATGCTCGAGCGTTTTTGTTTTTTTTTCTGTAAAAAAACACAGGATCAAAGCTCTTTTTTAAACTCATCCTTCCTATATGTGTGTATTCTAAACTGCAAAGGTAGCGCACTACGTTGCGAAAGACCCTGGACATTCGTCCCCCCATGTTTGTAATGTGTGTGTGTTTCTCCGGACGGATGTTCTAAACTGCAAATTTTGTTCTATATTGCATCTTGATGTTGTGTATGAATGACAATAAATGATTCTTGATTCTTGAACATGTTATCAGTATGATGCTGTGTGACGTGTGTGACATGTATAACATGATGCTGTGTGATGTGTGTGACACGTATAACATGTTATCAGTATGATGCTGTGTGACGTGTGTGACATGTATAACATGTTATCAGTATGATGCTGTGTGATGTGTGTGACACGTATAACATGTTATCAGTATGATGCTGTGTGACGTGTGTGACATGTATAACATGTTATCAGTATGATGATGGGTGATGTGTGTGACACGTATAACATGTTATCAGTATGATGATGGGTGATGTGTGTGACATGTATAACATGTTATCAGTATGATGATGGGTGACATGTATGACACATGACACAGCCTTACATCAGTGGAGCACCACTCCTGGATCATGGAGATGATGTGGGTCAGTTTCATCTGAAGTGTGAATGCTGCCTCCCACTCAGGCTCCATTTCGATGTGCTGGCCCACTTGTCTCACCACTGGGTCCATACCCTGAAACAGATAAATGTGTTCAGACACACACACGGCTGCAGCTGAGCTGGTCAACACTCTGCTGTGAGTCCAGTTACCTGCATACACCTCAACAGATCCAGAAAAGCATCAAAGCCTTCTACAAACTTGAGTCGGAGCGGATCGGTCCACTCAGACGGAGGGCTGATCAGGATGTACCTGCAGACACAACAACTGGTCAAATGGCTGCAGTGGTGGTCCCTGTAAGTGGTCTTAAACCAGTCCTCACTTCAAGTCTCCAATGAGGCTCTGGACCCGACCAAACTTGAAGGCCTGCTGGGCTGTGTAACGGTCAAACTGGAAGCGTCCCTGTGGGTCTCTGTGACGCAGGTGATCCACAAAGGTTCTAATGATGGTGGTCATCAGGTTCTCCTCCACCATCAGCATCCGGGCCTGCAGCCGTGCACAAACACAGAACATTCTGCTGTACTGGACAAATGCTTATTGATGTAGGTCAGTAGGTCTAAAATATCCAACTGACCTGATGACATCAGCTTTACTGTGACAACTGTTGTTTTTGTTTACCAACAGATAGGGATGTGTCTGACCAGCCCAAGCCCTGCTGTAATTATCACTGTGATTTCATCTGGACCCAGTTCAGGGCGTGAATGAATGTAGTATCTGTTTAACATAGCATCTGCATTTTAAAACACTATATATTTTTACACATTAGAACTGCCTGTTAGCACACAGCCTGATGGTTCTGTGTTTATTTCTGTGTTTATTGCAGTAAACCAACTCAGACCACCACTCTACAAAGTGACTTTATTTTTCACATCACCTATTTCTGTTTTTGTTAAATATTTCCACAACACTGTGACTTCAGAAAACACCCCGTAAAGTAGAGAAGAAACCAAAACTCCTTTCAGATCAGGGTGGAAAACCAAAAACCTGAGGTAAAACAATGATAAAAAATGATAAAAACAGCCAACAGTCTAACCTAATGAAAAACTGATGAACACTAAAGTTCTGTAATCAAATCCACTGAAACAAAGACTGTCATTGAGTTTAGAGTCTACCATCCCTCACTGGCAGATTCATAAACAACCAGTGTTTTTAAAATTACAAGTCTTGGATTTTATAGATAGACGGGTAGAGGCAGAGCTTTCAGTTATAAAGCTCCAACTTCCAGTTTCTGTCCGTGAGGCTGACACTGTCTACTTTTAAGATTAGACTGAAGACTTTCCTTTTTTGATAAAGCATATAGTTAGACTTAGGTTCTTCTCCTGTCCCCAAAACCCAGCTGGTCGAGGCAGATGGTCTCCTGTCCTGAGCCTGGTTCTGGTTCTGCTGGACGTGTCTCCCTGTTAAAGGGAGTTTTTCCTCTCCACTGTCACCAACGTGCTGCTGAGGATGATGACTGTGATGAAGTGAAGATTTAACAGTCTGCAGCTTCTTTAGATTTATTTTTTTATTATACAGTGCCCTGAGACGACATTTGTTGTGACCTGGCACTATACAAATAAACTGAATTGAATTGGATAAACCAGTGTTTTACATTTACTTAAAGTTACACTAGTGTTTTTAAATTTACATTTATACCTGTGTTTTTTATTTAGTTGAACCAGTTATATCAGTTTTAGATTTACATGAAAAGCTGTTACAGTTTTTCAGTGATTCCTATTTAAAGTCATACCTGTGTTTTATATTTATAATAATGTCAGTGGTTTATATTCTAACTAAAATCAGTGTTTATTGACAGGTTTAACATTCACAGTAAAAACTGTGTTTTATATAATGTTTTGTGATTTTATTGTGATTTGAGGTCTGAGGACTGACAGAAACTGTATGGTCACAACAAAACCAATCAGGTCAAATATTGAAGTATGATGTTTACATGTTCCTGATTCTCACCTGTGTGATGAATGACATTAGTCTCACCTGCAGGTCAAACTCACTACCATCTCACTCCCAGAAACAGAGCTGCTTTGGGATAAGTACCACCTCTATAAAACTGTCACATCAACTTCAGCTTTTACAAACCTGTCCAGTTTAAGTCATGGTTTGATATAACAGAACCAGTTTGACCCAGCACACGGGGCTGATGATGTCACACAGACTGGTGGGCTTCGGCTTTGTCTGGCAGGAACTCACCAGAGATGGGACGGTGAACATTTGGACGGACAGGTCGGTGATGGAGAACTCACGGTCGTGGTCGTCTGTCACGTAGTCGCTCTGCAAGCGTTCATATTTCTACCAGCAGGGGGGAGGACAGAGAGAGACAGATGTGTGGGAGTGCAATGGCAGAGCAGGAGGACCACTCACCATGGTTGGGACGGTGAAGAACTGAACAGAGAACGACGTCACCGACACCAATCGCTCATGGTCGTCCTCCATAAAATCTGTCTGCAGCCGCCTGTAATTCTATAGGGGAGTGGGGGTCAGAGGTCACTGCTGCCAGGCAGATAACTGACTGTACAAACCCTGAATGTCTCCTTCCTACAGGACACATTCACACTTTAAGAGGTCACTACCAGGTAGATAACTATACAAACCCTTAATGTCTCCTTCCTACAGGACACATTCACACTTTGAGAGGTCACTACCAGGTAGATAACTATACAAACCCTTAATGTCTCCTTCCTACAGGACACACTCACACTTTGAGAGGTCACTACTGGGCAGATAACTATACAAACCCTTAATGTCTCCTTCCTACAGGACACACTCACACTTTGAGATGTCACTGCTGCCAGGCAGATAACTATACAAACMCTTAATGTCTCCTTCCTACAGGAAACATTCACACTTTGAGACGTCACTGCTGCCAGGCAGATAACTGAGTACACCAAACCTGACCTCAGGTTTAAATACAAACATGCTCAAGTTTATTTGTAGCATTTTTGTTGTAAAAAGAAGAACAAAAGATAACTTAAAAACTGACAAAAGTTGTTTATGGTTAGACTGCTCCCCTCTGCAGTGTGAACTCAATAATCGCAACATTGATGTTAGAATCCCCAGTTTAATGGTCTCCATTAACAAGACCAACAGTCTGTGCACATTGTGCATTTTTCCGTCTCCCAAACTGCCCCCTGCCACCCTATTCCTCTCAACAGACACATGCCAAGTGAGTTACATACAACTTCACAAGCAGGGGTCACCATAGAGAAACTCAAATCAATTTATGGTAGTTGGCTTTTCTGACACAACCTGGGATGGAAAATGCAGCCCCCAGATTTGCTCCAGAATGCCTTGATAGTCTTGATATGTCATTGTACCCTGGACAGATTCAGGACATGCTGCACCAAAGAAAAAAAAAGGCAAAGAAACTCCAGAACTTGTCAAAGCCTCCTCCATGTTTCACTGTAGGTATAGTGTTCTTTTCAGTTTTCAGTTTCATTTTGGGTCAGAGAAAACAGAACTAATGGGATTTGTTGCCTTAAAGCTCCAGTTTTGTTTCATCTCTCCAAAGGACATTTTCCCAGAAGCTTTGAGACATTCATTTTGGCAAATTTTAGACCGTCTTCTCCACAGTCACCTCCCATTGAGTCTGCTGTGGTTGAAACAGTGGTGTGATCGGACACTGAACAGCAGTTTTTTCCTGTGTCCATGTCCAGTGAGGCTGACTACAGTCCTGTGGACCTTAAACTGTTGAATAATCTGTGCAGCTGTAGTCACAGGAACATCAAGCTGTTGGAGATGTTACCTTTGACATGATGTGAATCATTTTCTGTCTTAAGCTCCCGAGACAACTCTGTCCTTAGTGTTCAGTGTGGCAACACTAGATGCAGCCCTGTGACTACAGTTCAACCTTTAATGACTGAAGACACCTGTCATACTGATTACAGGAGATACCTCAGTTTAACAAGTCCCTATGGTCAAATTATTTACAAGCCTTTCATACTTTTGGAATAATTTGTTTTTGGATTTTTTTAAGATTTTGTTGAACAAACAATTTGAAAGCAAGGACTGATTATTGTTCGTCTCCGTCTTTTTGTTACTTTTGTCAGTTTCAAGTTATTTCAGTGATTTTTGTGTGGTTGTCTTACTTTAAGTCCAAACACATCCACACTCACAGTTTACCAGAGCTGACTGATGCCAGGCCGATAACTGATCATATGAACGATCATCTCCTGTTAAAATGTCTTCTTCTTACAACAAACAGTTTCAAAGTTTATCAGAAAATAAAATATATACTGTTGGAAACATCCAGCCTGTAAAAGTAACTCTAGCCTGCAAGATCCATGTAAGGTTCACGGTCAAGCTGCAGTCTGAACCTGAACTGGACCCTATAGGTCCCCACTGCAGTCTGATTCTAAAATCGGACCTCCCAGGTTCCAGGCGAGGTCAGGTCTTAAAAGGATCAGATACCTTGGCAAACTGGACTGCAAAAAACTTCTTGTACTTGAGGTCCATGAGGAGACTGTTCATCAGCAGCTGGTGGTAGATGTTCCTGGCTCCTGCAGACACACAAAGTGATGTTCCTGACCCCTGACCTCCACTTCATCAGTAACTTATGTCCAATAAACCATTGGTCACCTTTCCACATCTTTGAGTCATTCAGCATCAAGCGGTCCACCAATGAGGAGTTCTCTCCTTCCAGACATTTCTGTAGGCCCACCTGGCACAGGACTCTCCTCAGACCATCTGAAACAGCTAACGGTCAGCAGAACCAAAGACAACATGGGAGATTGTGGGTAATGATGGTCAAACATACCTGAGTACTGAATGATCTGTCCCAGCCAGCTGAGAGCCTTCAGAGCAAAACACTGATGAGCCACGACAGACGAATGCATGACTTGAACCCGCAGGGGCTTGGACTGGCGGCTGGTGTTCCTCTGAGGAGAGGTTAGGGGTCATAACTTATTAACCACATGAATGTACCCAAAACCAGAGTCCTGGTCCAAAACAGCAACACACCATTCAGCATTTCTACATAAACAACTGCAGTTCCAGGTAGGTTGAGAAGAGACAACAGGCAGTAAAAACAACAGGAGCAAAAAACAAAGATCTGCAGGAGCTTTGTACAACTCATTAGATTGTCAACAAGTCAAAGGACTGTGTCAAACAACATGTTACAACTCATTAGGTTAACTGTCAACGTGTCAGAGGACTGTGTCAAACACATGTTACAACTGTTATGATTCTGTCACTGTCTGCCCTGATCTAGCCCCAGTTTAGTTTTATTATTTCATTTCATGTCCCAGTTCACTTTCTTAGTCTTGTTCCCAGCCTTTCAGTTCATATCCAGCACCTACTCATTGCTCTCGCCCCTCCCGTCATAGAAACACTAATCAAGCTCATTCCACTCACCTGTCTGCAGCAGTATTTAACCCAATCTCATTCTCAGGCTCCTTGCCAGATTATCATCAGCCTTGCCTATGATTCTCCAGCGTTCATGTCCCTTGTCCTGCTCTTGCCTCGTGTCCCCATCTTGCTCAGGTCTCCTGGTTCCACGTCTCCTGCCTCAGCCCCTGTCGGATCCCTCCTGCCTTCTGCTCTCAYGGTAAYGACCTTTTTTCTGTCCTTTGGATTTTTGTCTCTCGCCTGCTCCCTGAACGGMACMRYGCCACATCGGACCTCTCGGATCTCGACCTCGGAACGCACCTCTGGATCATTGGCTCAGTCACCTCCCTCAAACTTGGTAACTACCTCTGACCACCCGTGCATGACCCTTGCCCCGTTTCTGACCACGAGTAAGTCCAGCGATCCAATCACTCCTCCCGACAACACAGCCCGGAACCAAAGCACTTCTGCTGTTGTTTCTACCCGGTCCTCATTTCAGCAGGAAAGGCTGGTGATCTTTTTTCTTACAAATTATGTTGTGTTCCTGACCCAACCTAACCTTGAGATTCCGGTCCCAGCCTTCCAGCCAAAATTTCTAACAATAAACTTGTTAAAACTTTGACAATGTTCGGTATTCATTCAGAGCTCAAAACACGAACCTTAACAGATAATCTGGACACAATGAGCTCTGAACCGAACGCAATCTGGAAGGCAAGTATTGAGGGAGCTTTAAATGATTTGGGTGAAAGTATTCGTAACAATAATACAACTCTAAGCAAACTACTGTATCTTTGTCTGGTAATGTTATGTCTCCCTCTGCTACAGGATCAGCAGCATCTCTTAATGTTTCAAGATCTCAGCCTTCTCCCTGTATGGAGCCCCGTTTGTGCCCACCTGAAAAATTCAAGGGCGCTTCTGATCAGGGTTGGGCTTTTCTCACACAATGTGAGATACTATTTGAATTACAACCCTCGTCATTTCCTTCTGAACGTTCTAAGGTCGCTTATGTTATTTCGCTATTGTCTGGTAAAGCCAAGTTATGGGGGACTGCTGAGTGGCAGAGAGACGCAGTCATTTGTTACAAGTACAAAGACTTTGCTAAGGAACTACTCAGAGTTTTTTGTCCAGTTCTTCCACATCGTGAAGTGTCCAGAGGTCTTTTAACAATCAAACAAGGGAACAGAAGAGTCACAGAGTTCATAATTGATTTTCATACCCTAGCAGTGGACAGCTGGTGGAATGATATCAGAGGCTCTGCAGGACGCCTTTTGCAGGCATTAAACAAGGACATCAAAGACGAACTGGGGACTCGAGATCCACCCCAGTCATTACAGGAATTGGAAGACCTGGCAACATGCATCGATCTAAGGCTACATGAGCGAAGGCAGAATCGATGAGGTAAAAGCTTCACTGGCACTTATTTGTCACCTTCCAGGAACACCGAGACACAGGTCAGAGGAAGTCAAATCGTTACCACCCCAGTGGTCCAGACAACTGTGGAACCAATGCAGATCGGCAGGTCAAAGATTTCATTGGAAGAGAGGACTCGTCGGAGGAATGAAGGTCTGTGCTTATACTGTGCTGGTGTTGGACACATTGCCATTAATTGCCCTGTTAAGCTTAAAAGAACCAAGATTCATGTTCTTAGTCCTGCCCAAGTGAGCCACTCTCTCCCTGTCTTGTCAGCAGATTTGAATGTATCTGGTAAAATTCACGCTGTGAAAGTATTCATTGACTCTGGGGCTGATACAGAGTTTATTGATGACAAGTTCGCTCTTTCTTTGGGACTACAGATCCACCACTCTGAGAGGGAACATAAGATTCAGGCGCTGGATGGTCATAACCTCAACCACACCAGTTCTGAGATCCTGCCTGTTAAGATGACAATTGGAGGTAACCACACAGAAGAAATAACCTTTCTGGTAATCACATCACCCAATCTTCCTATCGTTCTTGAAGCCACCTGGTTGAAGAAACACAACCCCCACATAGACTGGGTCAACAAGGAGATTATGGGTTGGTCAGAACAATGCTCATTCAATTGTCTATTCACAGCTAATCCTGAGAAGGAACCTCGTAATAAGACCCAATACATCCCCAACCTACAAAATGTTCCTGCCTGTTATCATGACTTGAAGGAAGTATTTAATAAAGAAAAAGCCACTTGTTTACCACCACATCGACCATATGACTGTTGCATTGACCTACTACCTGGTACCACACCACCTAGGGGCAAATTGTACTCCTTATCCAAACCCGAGAATGAGGCCATGAAGGAGTACATTTCCGAGTCCTTGAGAGCAGGTATTATCAGGCCGTCCTCCTCCCCTGCGGGGGCGGGGTTCTTTTTTGTAGTGAAGAAGGACGGATCTCTTCGCCCCTGTATTGACTACTGAGGTTTGAATGAAGAACCGATACCCTCTACCACTAATGAACGCAGCTTTTGATTTAATTCAAGGGGCAAAGATTTTCACAAAGCTTGATCTTCATAATGCGTACCATTTGGTGAGAATCAGGGAAGGTGATGAATGGAAGACGGCTTTTAACACTCCTTCAGGTCATGTCGAATACCTAGTAATGCCTTTTGGTTAACCAATGCTCCTGCCGTGTTTCAAAATATGGTTAACGACGTTTTGAGTGATTTCATCAGTGTCAACATTTTTATCTACCTGGATGATATTCTTATTTTTTCTAAAGATATCGAGTCACACCAGGAACTGGTCCGTGCCGTGCTACTTAGACTCCTCCAGAATAAGCTGTATGTTAAAGCCGAAAAAATGTGAGTTTCACACCACTGACACCACTTTCTTGGGTTTTAAAATATCTCCTGATCAAATCTCCATGGACCCAGCCAAGGTATCTGCAGTTCTAGATTGGAACACACCCCAGACTCGCAAAGAACTACAGCGCTTTTTAGGTTTCGCTAACTTTTACAGACGCTTCATCAAGAACTACAGTTCTATCGCTGCTCCACTCAACAAACTAACCTCCATTAAGACCAAGTTTTTGTGGAATCCGGAAGCGGAGGAGGCATTCAAAAGTCTCAAGACAATGTTCACCACAGCCCCAATTCTCCACTTTCAGGATACTGAAAGACAGTTTATTGTGGAGGTTGATGCATCCAACTCTGGAGTCGGGGCCATCCTAAGCCAGAGATTTACTGACAACAAGGTTCACCTATGTGCTTTCTTTTCTAGGTCTCTCTCTCTTGCAGAAATGAATTATGATGTGGGCGATCAGGAACTGTTGGCGGTTAAGCTGGCTTTGGAGGAGTGGAGACACTGGTTGGAGGGTGCTTGCTTGCATTTTCTTGTCCTGACTGATCACAAGAACCTTGAGTATCTTAAATCTGCTAAAAGATTAAATCCACGACAGGCCAGATGGGCTCTATTTTTCAGCCGTTTCAACTTTGTGTTATCGTACAGACCCGGGACCAAGAACACAAAACCGGATGCCCTGTCGAGAGTCTAAGAGTCTGACACAACCACACAACCAATGACGACCGGGGGGGGGGGGGTCATCCTTCCTGATGCTGTRTGCCTGGCCGTAACCMAAGYCGAGAGGGAAGTCAGGGCAGCCCACCAGAACCACTCACCTCCCAATGAATGCCCGGATGGTAAACTCTTCGTTCCTGACCACCTTGTTGTATTGGAATTTTGCCATTCTTCACGTCTTTACTGCCATCCGGGTATCACCAAGACCATTAGTATAGTAAGGTCTCAGTTCTGGTGGGGTTCCCTAGAAAGGGACGTCAGAGAATTCATTGGATCTTGTATTCAATGTGCCCTGGCTAAATCCTCTCGACGGCCACCGGCAGGTCTCCTCAGTCCTCTCCCTATACCATCACGCCCTTGGTCACATATTTCTATGGATTTTGTGACTAGTCTGCCGCAGTCTGAGGGTAAGACAGTGATCCTCACGATTGTGGATCATTTTTCCAAGATGGTACACCTTGTCCCTCTCCCCTGTCTGCCCACAGCCAAGGAAATGGCTCAAGTCTTTATGGACAACGTTTTCAGGCTTCATGGATTGCCTAACAATATTGTGTCAGACCGAGGTCCTCAGTTTCTCTCAGGTTTTTGGAAAGAGTTTTGTGCCATGCTCGCCATCTCTTTGATTCTTTCTTCAGGATATCACCCTCAGACTGACGGTCAGACAGAGAGAGCCAACCAGGAGCTGGAGACCCGCCTAAGGATCCTGTGTGGAAACAATGCTACCAAGTGGGCTACGAATCTCCCCTTGGTCGAACATGCACTCAACTGCCTGCCATCTAGTTCCACGAAGCTGTCACCCTTCTATGTGGTCTATGGATTCCAGCCGCCGGTGTTTTCTGCCCACAAACGAGCAGCCCAGGCCCGCTCAGCCCATTAAGCAGCCCTTCGATGTCAGAGAGCTTGGAGAGCCGCCAAGAAGGAACTGGTAAAGTCAACCCTCGTGGCTACCAGAACTGCCAACAGGCGAAGGACTCCTGCCCCCCAGTACCAGGTGGGCGACTGAGTATGGCTCTCTACTAAGGACTTACCGCTGAGGGTAGACTGCCATAAACTGGCTCCTACTTTCGTGGGACCCTTCCCCATCTCCAAGGTGATCAACCCAGCAGCCGTCAGACTCAGACCCCCAGGCTCCATGCATGTTCATCCCACGTTTCATGTGTCCCCGGTCAAGCCTGTCCAATGGTCCAGATTTTTGCCCTCCTCCAGACCCCCTCCTCCCGCCCGACTCATCGATGGTGGCCCGGCGTACACAGTTCACCGCATCCTCAAGTCCCGTCGTTGGGGTCTTGGCATCCAATACCTCATCGACTGGGAGGGATATGACCCAGAGGAAAGATCTTGGGTCCCAGCTCGCCATGTCCTAGATAAGACCCTCATCAGGAACTTCCATAAAAGCAACCCCAGTCAGCCAGCGCCAGCTAGAGCTCCATCAAGAGCCAGACCTTAGGGGGGGGGGGGGTTCTGTTATGACTCTGTCACTGTCTGCCCTGATCTAGCCCCAGTTTAGTTTTATTATTTCATCTCATGTCCCTGTTCACTCTCTTAGTCTTGTTCCCAGCCTTTCAGTTCATATCCAGCACCTACTCATTGCTCTCGCCCCTCCCATCACAGAAACACTAATCAAGCTCATTCCACTCACCTGTCGTCAGTAGTATTTAACTCAGTCTCACTCTCCAGCTCACCGCCAGATTATCATCAGCCTTGCCTATGATTCTCCAGTGTTCTTGTCCCTTGTCCTGCTCTTGCCTCATGTCCCCGGCCTTGCTCATGTCTCCTGGTTCCACGTCTCCTGCCTCAGCCCGTCGGATCCCTCCTGCCTTCTGCTCTCACGGTAACGACCTTTTTTCTGTCCTTTGGATTTTTGTCTCTCGCCTGCTCCCTGAACGGCACCGCGCCACATCGGACCTCTCGGATCTCGACCTCGGAATGCACCTCTGGATCATCGGCTCAGTCACCTCCCTCAAACTTGGTAACTACCTCTGACCACCCGTGCATGACCCTTGCCATGTTTCTGGCCACGAGTAAGTCCAGCGATCCACTCTCTCCTCCCGACAACACAGCCCGGAACCAAAGCACATCTGCTGTTGTTTCTACCCGGTCCTCATTTCAGCAGGAAAGGTGGTGATCTTTTTTCTCACAAATTATATCGTGTTCCTGACCCAACCTAACCTTGAGATTCTGTGTCCAGAAATGACGACCCCGGATTCCGGTCCCAGCCTTCTGGCAAAATTTTCTAACAATAGACTTGTTAAAACTTTGACATTGTTCGGTATTCAATCAGAGCTCAAAACACGAACCTTAACAACTCATTAGGTTAACTGTCAACATGTCAGAGGACTGTGTCAAGCACAACATGTTAGAGGGGTTGGACCTCTCAGAACACGAGGTTCATCAGTCTTAAAAACTGCATTATAAACTCTTCCTAAGACTTGAAGAACCTGCAGAAATCTGATCTCAAAGGCTGAAAATAAATAATGGATGGTCCTGATCTTCAGAAGGTCTGGTTCTGTTCTGGACATCCCTACATGGACCCAGGAACACTTCCATGAATCATTGTCTGTATTCACAGTTCAGCATACCATACACAAGCACTGGTTAAAGCTCTATCATGCAAACAAGAAGCCATGTGTGAAAAACGTAGAAAAAAAGCTGGTCTTTGTTGAACCAAAGCTGGTTTAAAATGAACTGTAGCAAATTGGAGACGTGTTCTGTGGACAGACACATCACAATGACTCAACACAGGTACTGGTCTCAGACCAGAGACTTACCACAATGACAGACTTGGCCTGATCACAGTACTGAAAGTCTCCATACCGGACCGACTTCCTACCCTGCAGACACAGAACAAAAACTAAATCAAAACACAAACATTTACACACAAAATACACAGAAAGGATGTTTGTTCACATTCTAACTGAACCAAGAAGACAAGTACAACTGTCCCACTATGTGTAGTACTGTGGTACTGTGTGTAGTAGAGATGGGACACGTGTTTAATTTGAAGATTTAATTTCTGCTCCAACGGCAAATACAGTGTCATCAATCAAAACTAAAAGAGACACATTCAATATATTCAGCTAAGAGTGGTACTGTCTACAGTAGTCTGAGTGAGGTACTGTGTGTAGTACTGTCTACAGTAGTCTGAGTGAGGTACTGTGTGTAGTACTGTCTACAGTAGTCTGAGTGAGGTACTGTGTGTAGTACTGTCTACAGTAGTCTGAGTGAGGTACTGTGTGTAGTACTGTCTACAGTAGTCTGAGTGAGGTACTGTGTGTAGTACTG